TTTTTTTTTTCAAGTGAGAAAAAAGTTGGATGCACTTGGTTGAAAGAATAGAAGCTTTGTTACAGGAGTTACCAGATGGACAGACGAAAGAGAAATCACTTGAACGGTTCCTGCGTGCATTACTGCTGCTGTAAATGCGAAGCTGGATCGAGTTGGGTTACTTATTCTGGGCGCAGGCATTTTGTTTTATCCCCTTGAGTTATTTTTGAGCATTTCTGATGTTCGTGGAATTGATGTTATGCTGCCTGTTCCAGTTTCAAGAATAGACGAATTTCAATTCGGAAACTGTTCCCTTATTTTGAAGCGGAGCATGTGTCCCTGAACAAGATATGTTAATTTATTGAAAGAAAATTGAAACTACATTTCTTCCATTCCAAATTGAACTTGAGTACAATGTGCAACCATTTTTCTTGCAAAAATGTACTGTACAGTACTGCGAAAATATTTTTGTGCTAGTCCAGTGAACTCGATGTCTATCCTTGGTGCAAGTGTGTGTGTGTGTTTTTTTTTTATGATCATGTTGAACTATTTCCCATGCTAAACCGTAATTAATTCCTAGTGTGTAATTTTAGTGTTTCCTTTTTCTGAAGAAGCTTAGAGTTCATGACTTATTAAGGTAGAAACCATAAGAACGAAGTTTAAGAACCAGTTGGTGGTTGATGAACTATGGCATAGTTTTGTACTGTACAGATTTTCATTCACTCCTAGGATCAACCACCTGCATCAATTTTGCAAGATTTGTGTGGGAACAACTGCTGGACAGCAACACCCATTTCCACTCAAGGGTGGGTTTCGTCACACCACACATAGTCCATGCTATAGAATCTATAGATTAACTGCAGTGAAAGAATTATACAGTATAGTTTTTGTTTGGATGCAGATTGCAATAATTCAGCAGGTTTGTAGCCGCAGAAACGAATGTGATGTGATTATGGATTAAATGAAAACGCATAATCATTATTGAGCACGTACTTTTTTATATTTCTAGTGCAAAACATACAACCCCATGATTTATTTGTGGATTCAAATGTTTTTATTGGAACACCAAATGTAGCTTCCACTTGCTCCATTGTGGAAAGTTATTCATGGGCTATACAGTATTTATGTTGAGATTATGTAGCAATATTCCTATTTTCACAAAAATTAAAGACTTATTTCAGGTTTCCAGTAGTGTTAATGCTGTATCATTGAGGAGACAATTCCCGCCGTTTTCATTACATAACATTGCATATTCATTCCTAAGTAGTGATTGATTGTAGATGGACTATTCACGGATAGATGGAGGCAGCAGTCCACCACAACTACTCCCCATGCTGCTTCCGGAAGGTTAGTTTACCTTCCTGCAATCCTCGTGGACAACGACGGAGTTTGTTTCTACCGAGGAAAAGAGAAAAATTACGGTCGTTGCTTAACGCGAATGATTGATGATATCGTGTTATTTCCGGAGAATAATCTGGGATGTGTATTCATTCTCTGACACGTGCCGCACCGTTTCCTGAGCCATGTGTGACCGCGGGATACATCAGAAAATGCCCGTTGGATGTGCGCCTGATCTGATTTAACGGCGTCATTTGCGATGAGTGGATTGCGAAGGTGAAGAATCACATATGATTAACAGAAATAAAGTCAAACTTCATCTGTCCGCAACGCCTTTCAATCGAAGGGGCAGCAAGATGCGAGTGACGAATTCAAGCCAGTTAAGCTATGGCAACGGCATATGGAATCTTAACGACGACACTCGTGCCGAACTTGCTAAGAGCTTGGAGTTGATGTCAATCCCCCGCCCTCGAATCGGTGGGAATCGCAAGCCTCAGGAGGACTGGTCCATTCCGCTGGCATTTTGCGATGAACGTCATATCGAGGATGTGCTTGGACTTGGAACAATTTCGAATTGTTGGAGAATGAAGGAGAGGGTTAGTGAATAGTTATTTAGTGCTGAAGAGATTTCTGACCAAATTTTTGTTTAATCAATATTTTTCAAGATGAAAACCGTGAGTGTTGCGCTGGTCATGTGCCTTCGCATTGGAATCGATCCACCAGACGTCATCAAGACTCACCCCTGCGCACGTCTTGAATGTTGGATTGGTGAGTTAATCTGGACTCGTGACTAGAGGCTAATCACGAACGTTGTGCACATGACATGATCTTATTGTTTTCGTGCCGAACTTCGGCGCATTATCCAATCAAAGCGTCAAGACCGCTGAACGATCACCGTCAAGTGGATCATTGCAGCCTGATGAATTTAATATAATTTACAGATCCGCAGTCAATGAGTGCCGAAAAAGCATTACCTGCAATTGGAAGTGCACTTCAAAAACAGTACGAACGCTGGCAGCCGCGAGCAAGGTACAAGTGCAGTTTGGACCCTACTTCCGACGAGATTAAGAAGTTGTGCACGACTCTTCGTCGGAATGCCAAAGACGAACGAGTCTTGTTCCATTACAACGGACACGGAGTTCCGAAGCCGACAGAGAATGGAGAAATATGGGTCTTCGATAGGGTACATTTTGAGGATTTTTATTTTTTTATACTGTACCTGATTTTGATTTATGGATATTTATTAATAGGGTTATACGCAATACATTCCGCTGTCGATTGCGGAATTGCAGAAGTGGATGAGTGCGCCGTCCTTGTTTGTTTATGATTGCTCAAATGCTGGTATGGTCGTTAAGAAATTCAAGGATTATGCTGAAGGGCTTGAACGCGAGTATGATTTGGTAAGTTCATCACACTTGTTTTATCATCTCACGTTAAATTTGTTGTTTTGGTTTTCAATTAATTTTTTTCTATGTCGACAGCTGCGTCTCCAACAGAACCACTTTGCTCAATCGTTACCGCCCCAAAACGCTATTCGCAATTGCATACAGCTTGCGGCCTGTTCCGCAGATCAAATTTTGCCAATGAATGCAGAGCTTCCTGCAGACTTGTTCACGTCGTGTCTCACAACTCCGATACGTATGGCTTTGCGCTGGTACGTACTGCAGAACCGATCACGCTTGGTTCCGGCGATCACAGTTGATATGGTGGACAAGTGAGTTGTGCCAATTCTTAAATTTTCGCGCGAAATTTCATTTACCTTATTTACGTGGCACTTTTTTCGGAATTTAAAGGCAGAATGGGTGTGCTTCATGGGCGGGGACACCAATTAGAAAGAAGTGACTGAGAAATTTTTGAAGTTCAAGTTCGCGGCATGCTTGAATCAGTTGGGAAATGGTCGTCAATTTTGAAGAGCCATTTTCTTCAAATTTGAATTTTTTAAATGGAAAACATTGAAAATGAATGCAATATTGGGTTCAATTCAAGTCAAAATTTAAATTCTGAAGCATGGTGCTTGCAAAATACATTAAGATCTTGTTTAAACTTGGTCCCTGGAGCCTGATGAAAAATTCGTAGTATCAAGATTCATGGATTTAAAAACATTTATTGGTGGAATTTTCTGTGAGTGGGTAGTAAACACTGTAGATGGGCCCTGCGACATGGATGGTGAAGACTTATCTCTTCTAACTCTCTCTGATGGCAAAAGGGCAATTTTCTAAACATCTCTCCTTATTTTGAACTTGCCTTGCTTCAAATTTCATAATTATGTGCTGATCTCAAAAAATGAAATGATACAAAAGTCAAGGAAAAGAAGTACCTCCTTCTAAAGCCACTCATTCAAGAACACCCAGTTTTCTTTGAATAATAGGTACACTTTTTGTGACCCACTGTGCTGTTAATTTGAAAAAGAACCATTGCAAAATTCTCAAATGAGCCTAAATAAGTTCTAAAACATCATGCATTATTATCATATTGAGTCTGTTGTAAGACGTATAACAGACTGAAAGCTCTAGCAATTTTATTAACAACCTTATTTTGCCTACAATAGAAGACCTCAACTGAACCTTTCTCTCTTACAATAAATACCCTTGCCTTAGTGCTGCTTGATTATTGCCACAAAATTTGTCAGGAAAAATGATGGCACTGAATTGAGGATTGAATATAATTACTCAAATACCAATGCACACTTTTTATGAAAAAATTCAAGAAAAAATAACAAATTCTCCTCTTATGCAGAAAAAGGGTTCCAAAGAAAGTTAGAAGAATGGTATTTTAATTACAAATTTCCAGAAAGTTGCGATTCACATTTATGTCTGGCAGCAACAAAATACGAGCATAATTAGTTGCTACTTGAAAATATGTGTATGCAGCAAATATTGAAAGAGATACTAGCATCTGTTGTAAATTCCATGTCGGAATCTTTTTTGAATCTAACTTGAGGTTCATCAGATTAAATAACTGAAAGGTGATTGATGCATACTCAAGCAATTTTGGTCAGCAAAATATACTTGTGTGTGAGCAATCCATGTCTTGCTATTTAATTTTTGACAGGGAAGGATGAATAAGTTGATGCAGAAAAAGCTGCTGTTGAAATAATTTTGCATTTTTGATTATTTGAAGTAAGTCAAGGTTTATTTAGACTCGATATTTCTGGATGAATATCAGCTTTACTGGGCCAAAAGTAATCGAGGGTGCATCTGAGTAAAATTTATTTGTGCTAAAAGGTTAATTTATCCTTCTCCATTTAAATTAGAAATATTACGACATGAAATTTTGTGAACANTCGTCAATTTTGAAGAGCCATTTTCTTCAAATTTGAATTTTTTAAATGGAAAACATTGAAAATGAATGCAATATTGGGTTCAATTCAAGTCAAAATTTAAATTCTGAAGCATGGTGCTTGCAAAATACATTAAGATCTTGTTTAAACTTGGTCCCTGGAGCCTGATGAAAAATTCGTAGTATCAAGATTCATGGATTTAAAAACATTTATTGGTGGAATTTTCTGTGAGTGGGTAGTAAACACTGTAGATGGGCCCTGCGACATGGATGGTGAAGACTTATCTTTTCTAACTCTCTCTGATGGCAAAAGGGCAATTTTCTAAACATCTCTCCTTATTTTGAACTTGCCTTGCTTCAAATTTCATAAGTATGTGCTGATCTCAAAAAATGAAATGATACAAAAGTCAAGGAAAAGAAGTACCTCCTTCTGAAGCCACTCATTCAAGAACACCCAGTTTTCTTTGAATAATAGGTACATTTTTGTGACCTACTGTGCTGTTAATTTGAAAAAGAACCATTGCAAAATTCTCAAATGAGCCTAAATAAGTTCTAAACATCATGCATTATTATCATATTGAGTCTGTTGTAAGACGTATAACAGACTGAAAGCTCTAGCAATTTTATTCACAACCTTATTTTGCCTACAATAGAAGACCTCAACTGAACCTTTCTCTCTTACAATAAATACCCTTGCCTTAGTGCTGCTTGATTATTGCCACAAAATGTGTCAGGAAAAATGATGGCACTGAATTGAGGATTGAATATATTTACTCAAATACCAATGCACACTCTTTATGAAAAAATTCAAGAAAAAATAACAAATTCTCCTCTTATGCAGAAAAAGAGTTCCAAAGAAAGTTAGAAGAATGGTATTTTAATTACAAATTTCCAGAAAGTTGCGATTCACATTTATGTCTGGCAGCAACAAAATACGAGCATAATTAGTTGCTACTTGAAAGTATGTGTATGCAGCAAATATTGAAAGAGATACTAGCATCTGTTGTAAATTCCATGTCGGAATCTTTTTTGAATCTAACTTGAGGTTCATCAGATTAAATAACTGAAAGGTGATTGATGCAAACTCAAGCAATTTTGGTCAACAAAATATACTGGTGTGTGAGCAATCCATGTCTTGCTATTTAATTTTTGACAGGGAAGGATGAATAAGTTGATGCAGAAAAAGCTGCTGTTGAAATAATTTTGAATTTTTGAATTAAGTCCAGGTTTATTTAGACTCAATATTTCTGGGTGAATATCAGCTTTACTGGGCCAAAAGTAATCGAGGGTGCATCTGAGTAAAATTTATTTGTGCTAAAAGGTTAATTTATCCTTCTCCATTTACATTAGAAATATTACGACATGAAATTTTGTGAACATTGAATATCAGCTTTACTGGGCCAAAAGTAATCGAGGGTGCATCTGAGTAAAATTTATTTGTGCTAAAAGGTTAATTTATCCTTCTCCATTTAAATTAGAAATATTACGACATGAAATTTTGTGAACATTTTTCGCTGGAAACTTGAGCGAGCGTCTTAGCCGGTGAACTTTTACCTAATTTTTCGTCCCATTATTATTTTTGGCGTCTTACAAGCAGGCATATGGTACTGGGGTTAATACTTGGCAAATATTGTATTCTTTCAGAGTCCCGGGTATTCTAAATGATCGCCGCACAATGCTTGGGGAACTCAATTGGATCCTCACTGCTATAACAGACACGATTGCCTGGAATACTCTTCCTAGAGGTAATATTGAATGCATTTTGACGTATTGTGCGGCATGATGACACGTTTGCACTCTTCCCTCGTGAGACAGATTTGTTCCAGAAGCTATTCCGGCAGGATCTACTCGTAGCTAGCTTGTTCCGGAATTTTTTGCTGGCAGAACGAATCATGAGGTCGTATGATTGCGTACCGGTGTCATCACCTGCTTTACCTGCTACTTATCAAGTATGTAGATTTAATTTTGGTAGACTTCACATTTACAGTTTGATGCTTTTTTTTTTTTTTTTTATTTACGCGTAGCATCCGATGTGGCAAGCGTGGGACTATTCCCTGGATATGTCTTTGTCTCAGCTGCCAAAAATGCTCGAGTCTGTGGCGGGAACTGTTGCCTCAGACTCTGTCAGCGCTGCTGCTGCTACTACTACCTTGCTGACCCAGCAACAGCACAAGCCAGTTCCGTTTTTTGCGCAACAGCTCACTGCTTTTCACGTGTGGCTCAAGATGGGGTTCGAGACCCGGAGTCCCCCCGAGCAGTTGCCCATTGTGCTTCAAGTGAGCAATTCCAGTCAATTTTTGCAGCGCAGTACGGTAAAACCTCCAAATAAGAAACTTTTCGGGACTTCACAAAAAGTTTTTTTTATACTAAACATTTGCTATGGAGAGATTTTCACATTTAATGACTGGAATTTTTTTTTACATCAGACCTGCCTATGATCAATGTTCCAGATTTACGCAAGTACCACGCACCTCTCAAAATTTAGAGGAAGAAGGGGGGGGGGGGGGTTTTCATAGGCGGGTATACATTTTTCTGAAAGTTTTAAAAGTTTAGGTGAGAATTATACTTGATTTTACGAGGAAATTTGGACCAATTCTAGCAGGAAAACATCTTGTAATGGAGATAATTGAAAATAAGTTTAATTCTGCATCAATTGGTGTCTGGATTCAAATTTGGGAGGGATTATTTTTAAAATATTTCAGTTTAAGTGCCACTAAAAATTGTGTGTATTACTCAGGGATGAAATTTTATTTTTAAAAATGCAACTGGAAAATCCTGGTGTGTGTCTTACTCAAGGGTGCGTAGCACTCAAGTAAATATGGTAGATCTGGCATTCTCAGATTTTTTTATTATTGTTTAAAAAACTGATTGATCTTCTGAGAAAAAAATTAGCTTCAATCATGCATTCCATCAATTTTACTAATCTCTTTATTCTGGGAGGATCGGCAATGGAACCACTTGTAAACATGTTTATCTCTGATCTCAGCTTCCATCCATGCTACAAGAACCTGTCAGTCACATTTGTGATTGGCAATTTCTGTGCCTGTCTTTGTCAAGAAATTTCTACTGAGAGAATCTACAGTATTAAACATTCTTCAAAAAAGTTGGTTGCACTCGAATTGGAAAGTTTTTTTACAATGAGATTGTTTTAAAATTTACTGTATGGGCTTTCTGCCAGTGCTTGGAGGGAAAAGTTCGTTATACATTGCAGAAAAATTTGTTGTTCTGAGATGTTACTGTATCGTACCGTATTTTCATGTGTTTTTTATTGTGCTGTACAGTGTCACACTTTTTACTTTTCCTTATGTTTTTCACCATCCAATGTAACCTCAATTCTCATTTATCGTATTTTTCAAGGTTCTTCTAAGCCAAGTACATCGGTTGCGAGCGTTGGAGCTGCTGACGAGCTTCCTGGACATTGGCCCATGGGCCGTCAACTTGGCCCTCTCCGTCGGCATTTTCCCGTACGTTTTGAAGCTGTTGCAGAGCAATGCCAGGGAACTCCGTCCTCTTCTGGTTTACATTTGGGCCAAGATCTTGGCAGTGGACGACGTAAGTAAAAGAGCAATTCATTCGACGCAAAGTGAATGATTTATTCTAAAAATGGGGTTCTTTGCAGACTTGTCAAAGCGACTTATTACGAGACGGCGGCCACAAGTATTTTCTGGCCATCATGAGTGACCCCCATATGTCGGTGAGTGCAAAATTGAGGATGACTATCTAAGGATGCAGAAGAACAGCGATTTATTCATTTTATTTTTTGCAGGCTGACGAGCGTTGTGCAGCAGTTTTTGTGATTGCCCGCCTCGTGCGCAAGTACCCAGAGGCCCAGGAAGCAGCACTGAAGGAGAACACCATTACTCTGTGCCTGTCGCAAATCAACGAGCCTGATGCAACGTTGCGGCTCTGGATAACTCTGTGTCTGGGCCATTTGTGGATGAACCACAGTGCGTCCAGGTGGTGCGGTGTGCGGAACAACGCTCATGAGAAGCTCATTGATCTTCTGACAGACTCGAGCCCTGAGGTAAGCGTTTATTTTCATTTTCTTTGGCATGCAGGAAAGTGATGGGGGGAAAAATTATTTTTTCCGCGTGTAGGTACGCGCGGCAGCCGTATTCTCGTTGGGAACGTTCATTGGGAGTATCAAGCCGAAGGATCGCAGTGAGCATGCCAATACAGTGGATCACTCGGTTGCCATATCGCTGCTTAATGCTGTGTCTCGAGACGGAAGCCCGCTTGTGAGGAAGGTTGGTACGATATGAGGTTGAAATCGTATGCGATATGGGACCTGTATCGATGATCCGCGTATGTTTTCTCTTTTTTTTCATCATTTATTCTCACTTTTTTAGGAACTACTGGTGGCGCTCCAGTGGATGGTGGCTGCTTTTGAAAGTGCTTTTGTAGCGGTGGCTGCGGCCATGATTGAAGAAGAGGAAGGAAGTGCCAGTTTGGCCTACAATTCTCCAATCTTACCCAGTAATGGTAAGTTAATCTGTTGTGAATTTTTCGGTGCTTGTCTATGGTGGATGAATTGGCAACTGGGAGCTTGCGCCTTGATGGCAACCCCGCGCTTTTCTGTGCGTTTCCAACCAATTCTTGGACATTCAAAATAATGCGAAATTATGCTTCTAACGAATTCATAGCAATAAAAAATAATCCAACCAATCAGATGAACTAACATGTCATTTGTGACCTACCTTATCTAACCGGAGCTAACTTACATAATTTGCCTGACTCAACTTACCTCACCGTGCCTAAGCTAATGCAACGTACCTAACCTAACTACTCATCTAGCCTAACTCACCTAACCTAAACTAATGAAACTTATCAAGCCTAACTCAACTTCCCTACTTGAATCAACTTCCCTGAACTACCTAACGTAACTTGATTAGTTGATTTACCTGACGTAACTCATCCAAACTCCATTTAACTTACCTGACCTACCTTGCATAAAGCTGACCTACCTCACATAACCTGACCTACCTCACCTAACCTGACTTACCTCACATAACCTGACCTACCTCACCTAACCTGACCTACCTCACCTAACCTGACCTACCTAACCTGACCTACCTTGCCCAGCGCAACCTACCTACTTTACCTAACATGACCTACCCTACCTGAATGGACCTACCCTACCTGAACTAGCCTACCTAACTTGACCTACATATGCTGACATATGTAACCTGATCAGCCTAATCTGACCAACCTGATCTACCTTACCCTTCACACCTAATTGTACCTACCTGACCAAACCTGACCTACCTTGCTTAAGATACACTAACTCCACTTACCTAACTTTCACTAACTCAACTTAACTTACTTACACCAACTCAACTTACCTTACTTACACTAACTCAACGTACCTTACTTACACTAACTCAACTTTCTTGACTGAAACTAACTCTACTTACCTAATTTAAACTAACTGAAATGATGCTACGTTTTCTTGATTAACGAAAGGTGAGTAATCTAACCTAATTTGAGACAGCGTTGCAGTATTTTGGAAAATACTGTACTGCAAAATTATGCTGAAGAAGCGCAGATATGAAGTGGGTGGGATGTATGAGAAGCCGGGGTTTTCATTGCTGTGAATCTCCGTGTGCCACTTCATCTTAAATGGAGAAGAACCAAGTTCTTTCTACCCAAGAATCGCGCGTGCTTGCACTTAGCTTCCTTCGGGCTAAATTGTTGATGCGATAGCGTTGTCGTTGTTTGTATTTGACATGCAAATTTTGGTTGCTGTCGTTGGCTAAAATTTTGTTTGCTTCGCGCGGCTTGCGGAGATGACCATGATATTGACGCGTAGACATAATACTGTAATAATAATAGCCGGCGGCGGGACGCTGCGGCGGATTGCGACGCGCGTGTCGATGGGCAGCCGACACGGCGGCGGCCTTGTGCCGGTGGAGAACAAGGCCGGGAGGTTCCATGTGACGATGCCAATGGGTGTTGGGGACAACATGCGGCGAGTGTCGTCGAGCTCGTCGATCGCGAGTCAGGGTGAGTGGTGTGATGATGATGATGAGGAAGGGCGGGCCACGTAAGAGAGAACGTCGTGTCGTGTGATGGCCGGTGGAGGCACCCATCAGCGGAGGCTGTTTGTTTCTTTCCTGGTTTGATTCTTCTTCTTCTTTTGTGCAGTGAATGTTGTTGTTGTCGTTGGTGTTCCTCCTCACCTCTCGTATTTTGCGTCTCTTTTTTTCTTCCCCGCACTCCTTTTCGATTGTCGTTGTGTGTGTGTGTGCAGCATCTTGTATCGGTTATTGCGCTGTGTTGAAATTTCTGAACTTTCTTCACTTGGGGGTCAGTGTTCGATGTGTGACTTGACTTTTATTGATGAGGTGCGTTGATCGATTTATGTACAGTCAAACCTCTCGATAAGCCGCCATCATTTCTTCGCGGGGGTTGTGGCGGTTCGAAGAAGGTTGGCGATTTATCAAAAAAGCTGAAATAATATGAGAAACAAGTACAGTACTGTATAATAGGAAACAAAATTATTATTCTTTCAGAAAACAATCAAAATAACCCTGGGATGCGTAAATTACATCAAGCTAATGTTTCTAAGAATTAAATTGTTCTTTTTTTATCGAAGATTTCTCGGGGAAACTTGTAGTTTTGTTGGCGGACTATCAACGGCAGAATTGATTGGCAGCATGGCAGGAGCATATTAGAGTTGTCAATAATTTTGGCGTGTGATGTTCTAACAGGGTTTCTGATGCTTTTATCATTTGGGAAAATTAATTCTTCGTATGACATCGTATCAGGGGGGAGCGTCTTCACGGTGTTTGACTGTATATACCGCACGGTAGGGTCTTTTTAGGCCATCACAGAAGTGTGAATAGGTGTCACAACATAGCCACAACGAAAAAAAAAACTGTTCAGTGCCGTGGTGTGTCCCACGAAGCTACACTGTTTGGAAAATGGGTTAGACGTCGGCGATATTCACCTGGTTGTGCTTGTTTACCGTATTTCAGCCCTTGGCAGTCTCACAAGTGCTGTTTCAATCCCGTCTGCAAGCACGCACGTTCGTCTGTATCGAGGATTTGAAGCGCTGAGTCGCGATCCGAGTCCTGGAGTAGCTGAAATGGCCAAGACTCTTCTCAAAATTCTCCGTGCGAAGGTAAATGATCATGTTTTATTTTTACTTATTTTTTTCGTGCACTTGACGGGAGTTTTTCTTCAAGCTTTTAATGCGTTTAGTGTGTAACTTACGTTGGCAAATTAGGCGGAAGTACTTTTGGAATGCTGAGGTCTAGGATTATGCGACAAAATTTAGCAAGAAATAATTACACGGCAACAACTCGCCGAGTTGAATATTTTAGCGTTAAAATACTGTAATACTGATTGACACTCTTGAGAATTAATTTGTCAACAATGAGTTTTCCCTGTGTAACGAATTTTTTTTTCGTCCCATGAAGTTTTCTACTCATTCCATGTGGGTACTCCGCAAAAAAAAAATTTTTCTGGTCCCCTTGAATTTGGTTGTAGAGAGTCCACTAGTAGAAGTTATAATCGATAATTGAATCGTTCTTGACACTGTTGTCGTGTCTACATTTTGTTCAGAGCTCTTTTTGCTCCTAATCCAGTGCACCCTTGTACTGTGTGTAGTGAGTACTGTACAGTACTTTAAACCCTAAACAAAACGTCTTTTGGATATTAACTGAATGAGCTAAAATTGTAAACTTGCCTCTATTGTATGTCTTCAGCTGAGAATAAAACCTTTGAAATAGGTATTGGGCCATTGTTCATTCATATTTTTTTTTCTGTTTCCATTGAATCGAAAATTCAAGAACCGTTTTATTGAAATTCTTGACATTTAGTTTTTTTTTCCCACACGTCATGGTGATTTTTTGCAAGTCCAAAATCTCATAACTTGATGTTGTCAAGTTTTGAATATCTGTATTTGTTCATAAATTTGTTGGCGCTTCATCTGTTGTCCATCGTTTTTGCCTATGTGTGAGTTTTGTGATGGCCAATCTTGTCAGAGCTAAACTCTCCCCCGTGCAACTCCCAAATCAGTCCCGGTAAAATGGCACTTTTTCTTTTATGTTTGCGAATGAGTGACTTCAAGAATTTGCAGGGTGTGACAAATGCATATTTTGATGCCTGTTTGACAAGGATTCAACATTCATATCTTGAAGAACTTATTAATGGAATTTAACTTCGCAAATCATTTCATAGAGCAAGAAATTTAATTGAAAACTATTCAATATTTCGCTTTTTTTTATTCAAGTTTGACAAGAGTGCTCCATGGTGACAGTGGGTTTCAGCAATAATCGTTTTGAAGAGAAAGATCAAGTTTTGGACATTGTAAATACTGTATTATAAGACAAGCGTTTTAGACAAGAAGCAGTTTCTGCAATACAGGAGTTTAGAACTGGTATTGTTGAAACCTGCTGTCACTATGGAACACTCTTTGTCAATATGCATTCATTGTTGAATCCATTCAAATTAAATTCCTTGCTCTACGGAATAATTTGCAAAGTTTTATTTCATTATTATGTCAACATACTGTATGAAGCCATATGCTGAATCAACTCAAACCCTGCAGTTAAATCCCTTATTCTTGAAGTCACCCATGCAGAACCATAAAAGAGAGTCTGTTGTTGTACTGGGAGTGTTGAGGAGGTAGACATTGATTATTGACTGACGCTAAAATATTGATTCTCGTTTGATTCACCTTCCTGTTTTTGGTATGCGATGAAATTGGAAAAGATTGTAAAAAGGCATTTGAGGGACTGGGCTTTCTTGTTGATCTCTTTATTCCGCACGTGTTTGCTTTTGTACATTTATAAGCGTTATAGCAACAGCACTTTCGTCACGTTAGTCAGTGCGGTGCAAAATAGCTGCGGATGGAACTTGGCGCCACCGGCCCTGTACCTGCACGTTAGCGAAGGTTGCAACAGCCGCGGGTCTTCACCGTCCACGAAACACGATTCCATCCTTTCCTCGTGAGTTCCGTCTTTTTTTTTCTTCTTTTTTTGTGGCTTCGATATTCCGGAGAAGCCTCTTGTTGAGGCGACGGTTCCCCTGGTGTCTGCGAGCAGGGGACATCATCATTACTACCGACCTGGTTCGTCCGACAGTGAGCACGAGGAGCAGGTCAAGTACAACACGATCCACGCTGGCGTGAGTCCGTCGACATCGGGCACGCTGGCCCGGCCATTACGGACGTCGATGCCCAGCGGCACCAGCAGCTCGTTGGTGTCCCGGCTGTCGGCCATCAGTTCCAGCGCCATTTCTTCCGGCAAAACGCGTCGCCTGTCGCCCACGCTGCAGCAGGCCCTGTCACCCATCAAAGTGAGTTTCGTCGTCTTTTCTCGCGTTATTTTTAATGTGCAGCATAGTGATGAATGCATTTATTTTTATTTTTTGAAGACTGAAATGGAGGATTTGTTGCTGAGGAGGATGCCGTCATCAGCGACGGCAGATCCGACGAATAAGGGTCCTTTGAACTTGTCGACGGAGTTTGTTGAATGGTGTGCCCGCACTTATTCTGCGGGGAAAGCGAGCCGCCATCGTGCCACCAGCTGGTGCGCGAGTGCTAGTCATGCGGTGGCCATGGGAGACTTGGAAAGTGACGCCTATTATCGGAGAGAGCTCAGGTCAGTTTTTCTTGTCATCGTGACGCTACATGTAAGGTGAATGTGTGAAACGTTTGCGCCCTTTAGTGATCTTGAGTTCCGCCTTTTTTTTTAGCTTCCTGTGTCATAGCATATCTTTGCGAGTGCAGGCAAGCCTCGATTGTTTAAAGTGCTGCCCGACTCAGATGTGGTCAAGGGCCACATTAACGCATTTTTGTGGTCAAGGGCCACATTGCAGAGGTGGATAGTCCTTCGCGGGCCACAATAGGCAATATGGGAAATTTTTCTATAGCAAATGTTTTCCGAAATGCTCCAAATTCTCTACTTTTAAAGGAAAAGGTTCAAGTTTTATTCAGTTCTATGCATTATTGAATCACAAGCCACAATAGCCTTATAGAATTTTGCAGGGCGAACCAAAATTTTTAAATTTTAAATTCATTTTTCGATCTAATCTGACTAGTGGCTGCTGCCACCTTAAAAATTGCGAGGAAAGGACTGTGGGACAGAAGAAGAGTCTCTGTGGGCCGGATCTGGCCCGTGGGCCGCATTCACTGATTCAGTGCCGTCATTTGTCCTGGAAAATTTAAATGGATGTTATTGTACTGTATGAGAGAAGGTTCAATTCTGGGTCTCCACTGTCAGAAAAATTTGCTTGTTTACAGAATTATTAGGCCACTGCGTCCGTTTTGTGAAAGAGAAAGATGCGAGAAATAATTTGAAGCTCAAGTACACTTTTTATGCTGTATCTCAATGAAGTTAATAAAACATAATATACAGTACAGTAATGTATTAAGATTTTACGCATAATGTGTAGAGTAAAAGAGCAGAGCTGTTTTTGACGTTTTATTGAGTTCGAGATTTTATATCAGGTGATTTTATACACGAATCTCTAAGATTTCCTGGAAAGCTCCTACTGAATACTGTATATGTTTTAAAGAGTGGCAGCTGCCATTATTCAGAATATTTATGGAAAAAAAATTTAAAAATTCTAAATGCTCCGCTGCAATCTTCCAGAATTCTGTAAGACTTATGATTTTGATCCAATGCTTATTATCGCTAATTTAAATCTAGAACTATCCATATACTGTAAAAAGGGAAAAAGCCGGAGCCTCATAAATAGCCGGCTCGCGGGCCTTCCCTTTCGCAGCTCTGCTCAAGTGCGAAATGTTGTGTAAAATTAGTGCAGTATGCCCTTTCAACAAATCGCGTTTTTCAAGTGGAATTTTCATTCTCTTGTCAAGGTTTCGGAAGAATGCTCGGGTGCGTAGTGACGCAGCTGTGGAGCGTGGTCGTGTGATGGATGGACAAACGCGTCTGGAGGAACAGGTGATGGCTGCGAGGAATCTTTGGGCGCCGACGGTGATGCGGTTACACCCGTACGAGCCGGTTCTGTTGGTGGCAGATGAAGAGCATTTGTCGACGTGGGACTTGGTGTCAGGGACCCGTCTCGGCTACCTCGAGAACCAGAACCCGCCTAAATTGGGGTTAGTTTGAAAATTTTCCCTTTTTTCTCTGTTTTGTCTGACGTGGTTTTTTTTTTTGGGACAAAATTTCAGCATTACGGCTGTTGAGGTGGTAAATGCGCAGGAAGGAGTTGGTTCCTTGGTGATGATCGGTTCCCGCGACGGAGCTGTCCGCGTGTGGGCCAACTTGACTGATGCCGACGCTACGGATGCTGGAGGAGGAGGGTTGTCGAGCCCGAACGAAATCGACGGTCGACCGTCACTGATGGCGTACTCGGGCAGCAAGGGTACAATACGAGTTTCGGCCGAAAGCTCGCTTAGTGGACACCAATTTCAGCCAAAGCTCGTGACTGCTTGGCAGATTTTTTCGGAACTCCTGCAATCCACACGAAGTGAGAAATTGGATTCTCAGTTTTCATTCCGTTAGTCGTGAGAGTGCAGTTTTTGCTTTTGATGATGCAGTATTCGACGACCTCTTTTTAAGAAATGATTTGACTTTACTGCAGTTGTATGAACTGCTTTGAACTACAGTAATGAGAAAGGGGCGAAATTGATTTCAAGATTTTTGGTACCAGGAAAATTTTGGGGGTAGAAAGTGATTTTCTTGAGCAAATCATGAAAATGTGCGTTTGAATTTTTTGGTTTGTTCATTATTGTATTGTTTATTAAGCTAATGAGAAAGGGGCGACATTTTGATGCCAGGAAGAATTTCGGGAGTAGCAACTGGTGTAGGAGCTTCATTTTTTTCGACCAAAACCTAAAAAAGATTGTTGGACTGTCAGTTCGCCAATTTTTTTTTAAATTAAATTATTGCGACGGCGGTATAATCAATTTCAAGATTTCGATGACGGAGAATTTAGGGGGTAGCAACCCTGTTGGGATTTCTTTTATTTTTTCGAGAAAAAAATGAAAAAGTGCTTCTGACAATTTTTTGTTTGTTTATCATTGCAGATGCAGGTGTATTACTCAATTGGAACCAGCGATGTGAGCAGGTGGCAGCTTCTGGAGATGTGCGAGTGATCCGGCTTTGGGACACGCGTCGCGAGTTGCGCATTGCAGACTTGCCGACTGGCGCAGACTGTTGCGTAACTTGCTTGTCCCGTTCGCAGGACGGTAAGAGAGAAAGAATATATTTTGCAACAAACAAACAAAAAACATGAATTGTTTATTTTGGCTGCAGGTAATATGATTGCTGCGGGCTGCGGGGACGGCACCGTCCGTCTTTTCGACGTACGTCTCTCGCCGTCGGATGCACGCGTCAAGGTGTGGCGAGAACACCCGTCTTGGGTTCTCGCTGCTATGCTACACGAGGGGGATGGCTCTGGATTGCGTGTCGTGAGCGGATGGTTCGTATTGTCGTGTACAGTAAGGTCGAAACTCGATTTATTGCCACCATTTTTTCCTGGCGCGTTTTGTGGCACTGAGCGATGGTGGCTCTAAATCGAGAATATTTTAAGGAGAGTGGGGTTTAGTTGAGGGTTTCTGTTGTAATCAAAATGAGGTGGTTCAAAGAATTTTTAGGCTCCTCAGTCTGTTTCAGAATAGAGAAAGCCACAAGAAATGATTTGAAGTTCGAATGTACTGTGTATTTTGTGTTATAAAATACGTATTCCGACGAAATTTTTAAACATACAATTCATTATAATGTGTAGTAAAGTAGCAGAGCATTCTGTTGCAGAGCTGTTTCTCGAAATTCCGGTGCATTTGAGTTTTATGTCAAGTGCCATCATGAAGGAATACCAATGTTTTCACAAAAATCTCCCTCTTTTTTTAAATCTTCAATTAAGGAAAGTGTCATGCAACGAAGAATATTCATCCGCCAAAATTCAAAAAATAGAATCTTCTCAATTATCCTGAGTTTTATGTGAGCATGGGATTGTGATTCTCAGTTATAAGTCTAGTATCTCAATGATTTCCTGGGAAAAAGCCTTGATCATTTCGATTTCTGCCCTTTTTAAACGTGACGAAGAAAATGTCCGTGTTATTGCTGATGATTCTGGTTTTTTTTTTGAATTTGCAGTAGTGTACCGGGAGAGGTGCGAATCTGGGACTTGCGGCAGCATGAGTCAATGGCGTGCTTTCAGGGTGGCGAGCTGATGTCAGCGATGGCTGTGCATCCTCAGGTCAATTTGTATGCCTGGTGGGTGATTTTGTCTTCATTACTTGTTCATTTCGTTTCACTTTTATTTTATTTAAACCTCTATTCGGTTTTATTTGAGGAATGTCCATTAGAAGTTGGAGTTGGATCCTGTGTTTTTAACTTTTCGTTTTTGTGCGTATGCCGGAAAGCATTTTCCTCATTAAATTGAAGGTTAGAAAAGTTGATTGGAACTTGTCAGTTGTGTTCAATTTACTGCTGTACTCGGAAATGTTCGAGTGATTTGAGTTTTTTGTCTTGAAAAAGTCCAAAATGCAATATGTTTAAATTTAAAGGTCTTATTGTGTTTGACAAAGCTAAAACTCAAATTTTGAATGGGGCGGAGTTTTGAGTTATTCACTGAAGAAGGAAAACACAATCTGGGGACAAGGACAATGTTTGAAAACTCCCGAAGGACATTTCAAAAAGATTTCGTTTTAACGTTTTATAGTCCATCAGGAGTTCCGGTTGGATCATGTGTTTTGAACTTAATCGGTTGCCAACTTTGTCCGGATACCGGGAAGCATTTCCCCGATTATTTTAAAGATTTTGGAGAATGCCACAGAACTTGTGTCAGTTGCTTTCGGAAGCATAGAAATGTTTGAGTAGTGTGAATTTTTGTGTCTTATGAAGTGTGAAAATTGTGGGGTCCCACTGCGTGTAAGAAATGTTGCCGGTCAAATTTGGTTTGAGGCAGAGTTTTGAGTTATTTTCTCAAGAATAAAATTATTACCAGGAGAAAAGAATACATCTTACGGAGAAAATTTTATAAGATACCGTTTTTCTAGTGCGTGAAATTTATTTTTTTCGAACCTTTTATTACTTTCTTTGCCGTTTCAGTGCTTTCAAGTCGAGCACTGCGGGATCAACGAACCACCAGATCAGCATTCACAAGGGACTGGTTGGCGAGTGTGTAGGGACGTACAAGTACTATGAAGGGTTCATGGGTCAACGGATCGGACCCGTGTCGTGTTTGTCGTTTCACGATTTCAACGTGAGACTCGCTTCGGGCAGCAGTGACACAACTTTGGGCGTCTATGGACCCAAGTCTCTTGGAGCCTCGGGGACGTCGGCTCCGTCGGCGACGGTCTCATCCTCCAATTGTGCGTCTTCGTCCGCCTCATCGACGTCCTCTTATTCGTCTACGTGTGCTCCTTCGTACCAGACACCCTTGTAGTGGTCATGTCCGGTGTTACTTGACGATTGACGTAGTGACGACTCTTTGGATTGCGACAATGAATAAATTGTCAATACGAGTTGTTGCTAATGTGAGTTGTCTGGTAGCCTCGTCTGCGATTCTTGGTTCGGGTTGGCGCAATGCAGCGCCGGGACAAAGTAGTGCATTGCCTCGTTTTCAAATGCTTCTATAATCTTAATTATTTTTATACCATGAGACACACTGAGTTGCTTTCTAATGCCTTATTGTTGTACCCCGAGTATGAATGTGCATCTCTTCTCGTGGGAAGGACATTTTGGAGGGAAATTTAAGGCAACAGGGAAGTGAGAGAGAGAGATACTTGGCAATTGGTAGGGATACTATGTCGTGATCGATATTGTTTTCGCCTCTGCATTCTGTTGGAAAGAATGCTTTTTTTCCCCCTTGTCAGGATTGTTAGCGTCAATAGAGTGACATGAGGGATTCAGAGGCCTCTGTTGGATTTTTTTTTCTGGTGCCGTTTGTTGTTCTTACAGGAGAAAGTGCCGTACGGGATGAATAAAGCCGTCATCTGTTGAATTTGGCCGTTTTTTAAATCAATACCATGTAACATTTTATGACTGTATAAATTATTTCCTGACTTTCTTTGCCCTTCTATTGTGATTTCAGGTTGAATTCGCGCGTCAATACAGTGGTTCTTCATGCCTAGACATTTGCCTAAGCAAGACGAACAATGTGAAAGAGTGGCCTGAAAAATCCATGCATGACCCTTTTTTGTTGTTGTGAAAATGCATCATTGGATTCCTGTGACAGCTTTTGGTTTGAAATTACGGGTGGACTCTCTTTTTATCAAAGTTAAAGCGACTTGGAAAAATCGTTGTAGGAAACCCAATATAAAATTTGGAGAGAACCTATATAAGACCACACAAAAATCATAATGCAGAGAAAATTGTTTTAGAGAGTCTACGTGCATCATCATGTAAATTTACAGTGAGACAAAAATCAGATGAAAACTGTGAAGTAATGTACTTACTTAATTACCGTACACCTTTAAATAAGGCAAGCACCTCAATTTCAAAGCCTAAAATTCGGGGGGGGGGGGAATCCACCGTATGCAAATGCATGTGGAATCTCTCTACAAAGAATTTCTTGAGACCCAAAAGAAAAAATTCCTTTTAGAAGAAGTTTGGATGTAGAAAACCCTTTTAAAATGGGGAGAGAACCATATGGGACCAAACATTTTTCATTATACAGAGAAAATTGTTTTAGAAAGATGTTGTACACTACCTGATGTAGTGTGCACAAAGCAATATGACAAAATGTGGCTATGGCATGTTGACCTGCCTGTATTCAGGGCCTTCTTATCTCTGGCTTGGTTCTTGGTATCCATCACATACAAATACTGTATGTGCTGGAGTACAGTACCATATTTAATTGAATACCACACTCCCTCTGGTAAGGTGCACATCCAAAAATTTAAACCTGAAATTCAGATGAAAATGTAATCCCAATGATTAAGACATACGCAGTATTTTAAAGATTTAAATATTCTGAAAATGATATGTATTTTAATATTTACTGGAATTGCAGTTGAATCTTATAATTTCAGTTTTTAAATTTTCTAATGAAATCAGGTAAAATTGCCTGTTGGAATTAACAATGAGTTTCAACAAAAAATTTAAATGAGAAAAATTCATGCATTTGTCGGATTGTCGCACCCTGGTTGTTTTTTCTTAATTTTGGAAAAGATGTGGAACTGGAGTACTGTAAGCCAGTATCATACAGTGAGCGGGAGTGGAGAATTGTAGGAATTCTTCAGGGGCGACACCTGTTGAAATGTGTGAATCAACATTTGAACGTTCAAGCAACCCGAGTTCAAGAATGTACGCTTGACAGATGGTCGGACAACAGGCCTACAAGTAGTGTTGAAGGCTAGACTGAAGATGTCAGGAAAATGTGGACCAATTCGGACTTGGTCTGAGTAGGTCTTGATCTAAAAGGTGTTTGTCTTTGATGCATGGAAGCATTGTTTTCAGTGTAGACTTGGTCAAAGGTGCCTTTGAAAAATCGCAAGCTTGACCTCTTTTCAGTCTGAGCCCCGCGGGGCGTTCAGTTGACCTATAACATTCCGTGAGATTCAGATGTATGCAATTCGGCTGACAGACGGTGTTCCGGATTTTTACTTTCAGATTCCTTTGAAGATATCTGTGTTGTGGTGGAAACGCGGCACCGTTATTCATAAGAATGGTATGAACACGATGATGCGTACGCATGACTTGGTACAATATCAGAAACGTAAACTTTCGAATTTGTCGTCTTTCAGGGTATCGACATCTCTCACAAGCATGACAGGAAAGCCCGGAGAAAAGCACCGAGATCTAAGAACGTTTACTTGTCGCTTCTAGTGAAGGTAACTTTCGAATATTGAAATTCCCGAGCCATATATAATGATGTTCCTTTTTTGCAGCTTTACCGGTTTTTGTCACGTCGAACGTCAGCCAAGTTCAATAAGATCATACTGAAGCGGCTGTGCATGTCTCGCACGAACAGGCCACCGATGTCCCTCGCTCGCATAACACGATTCATGAAGAAGAAGGAACGCGAAGGAAGACTTGCCGTCGTTGTTGGCACAGTAACTGACGATGTCCGCCTTTTCGACGTGCCCAAGTTGTCGGTGAGTGTGAGAGGTTTCAGAATGATGTTCGACGTGTGAATTAATGCTCTTTCGTGTTCGCTGACAGATTTGTGCCCTCAAGATCACGGACTCTGCGCGTGCGCGAGTTCTGAAGGCTGGTGGTGAAGTAATCACCTTTGACCAACTAGCTGTGCGTTCGCCGCTGGGAAACAACACCGTTATGATGCAGGGTACGGTATAAACCATCAAATTCTTGCGTGGGTTATCTCTTGATCGTCTTTCGTTGCTTAACAGGATGTCGCACGGCTCGCGAGGCCCACCGCCACTTCGGGCGCGCTCCCGGCCTTCCGCATTCTCACACGAAGCCGTTCGTTCGCTCGAAGGGCCGTAAGTACGAACGGGCCCGTGGACGCCGTTCTAGCCATGGATACAAGAAGTAAAAGGTCGATGCCGTTTATTTCGCGTCATTGTCTCAGTGGTGATGATGGGTTATTGGCGTTGCGAGAGAAAACGAACCTTATGTGAAAACCAACCGTTTCATTTCATTTTTGCGTGTTTCGTATTACTGTTTGTTTCGATGAGGCCTGAAGACGTGGGTTGGTTTTTCCTTATCTATGCTGAATCCGCAGTGATTCGCGAGTGTGTGGAAAACATCGCGAAACTGAAGCAAGGGGATGAAATCGGAAGCCGGCAAAGTTAGTAACAGAGTGAGTTTAATATCTTATTTTCTTGACTATCGTTGCTGACTTTTGATTGTCAAGAGGATTGACATGTCGCCGCCCTCCGCGATTGAAATATCGGACGAAGAGTTGGTGTCCATCTCCGTGAGGGACCTAAATCGTCAATTGAAACTTCGCGGCCTGACGCGAGAGGATATTGTCAAAATGAAGCAGCGTCGAAGGACTCTCAAGAACCGAGGATATGCAGCAAGGTGAGATACATGGCTAATGTCCGATGAGGTACAGTGACATGAGACTTACGATGTTGACAGCTGCCGTGTCAAGAGGGTTGAGCACAAGGGAGACCTCGAGTCTGAACGAGTGCAAGTTGAAATTGAGTTGGACCAGTTTCGGACTGAAAAGGCGCGTTTACGCAGCGATATCGCCGGTCTTGAGCAGAAGTGCCAAAGACTGATTGAGTATGCCGATGCCCACAGTATTGTCCTAGCCATGGACCTACTGCGCGATCATCATCAGCAGGACGCGGCTGCCTATTGATCACTGCCCATCATCGTGTCCTTGTAACCTTTTTTTTTATTATACTGTATACCATCTTCGCGAATATCAGCATCCCTTGGATTTTGTATGCGCAAAATGATTTAAAATTCCATTAATAGTCGAATATAAGCACGCAGTTACTTTTCCAGGAACCTACAGTTTATATTTCCCCATTGAAGGAAAAATAGCGTCAAACAGCCCTTGTTTTTCACCTTCAACTGATTCGTGAATCTTGAAGCGCTTAAAGGTGACCATTTTGTGATTGACTTTACTCAAGTACCACAAGTACCTTTTTTTCTCTTTATTCAAGAGGAAAGAAAGGATGTGCCTGTCATCCTTTTTCCAAAAGCTTCTCGAAGCTTAGGTCAGTTAGGTGTGCATCATATTTGATTCTAATTGAAAAATTTCGTCCAATTTTGACAGAAAAACTTACTGTACTGGAAAAAACTGATAATTATTCGAATTTGGGTGTTTCTATATTTGGAAGATTATGGATTCAGAGTAACTGAAAATTGGGCGTGCGTCTTACTTCGAATATAATTCTGACAATTCAACTGAAAACCCCTGATGGTTTATGTTGTATTAAAAATGTGGTAACCTTGACTTGAATCGCTGAAGAACTGAAGAAAATGAGTGCTTTATTGTTTGCTGGGCCGTGAGTCGAAAGATTTTCTGGTATAGATGCAGATTTACAAAAATTGAATAAAAATGCGAATATAAGACCCCCTGGTTTTTGAGCTTCTAAAATTGAGAAAATTATTTTTATGCAGTATTCGCGCAAATACGGTAGCCTGTTTCCCTGAGGAAAAAGCACTGTGGGTCTCGTATTTATTTTTTTTTTTGCTTTCAAAATTGCACAAGAGCGTTTTTTTTCGGGAATATGTTTATTGGTTTCGGAAAGGATTTGACGTATATTCTGTCCTCACGGGTTTGGCGTGAGTTTTTTGCGAATAAACTTCCATTCTCATCCAATCTCATGATGCGCGGACATTTTCATTTCTATACTTATAATTTTTCAAATTATTTTGTGAGATGCCTGCGCAGTTGCTGGAAATTATTTCCAGTGGAGCTCACTGAAGAATTAGTGATACTGTACTGTACTAATGAAGGTATGTTTATTGATTTGAAAGTAGGTGGTGATACATGCACGCGGCGAAGTGTAAAGACTGAGTACAGGTCGTGTTATAATTGCGCTGTCTATGTCAGCGATGGTCCGGGTTGCTCTCTGGTAATTTTTGTGTCAACGTGTAAGTCGAGACCACTTCACTGGACGAGCTGAACTGTGTCAGCCGTGCTTCAGTTTTCTGCGGCGCGTTCATGACTTAACAATCCATTTGTGAACCTCCAACTCTAAACTTAGTTATCCTCAAAGGGTCTGAGGAAATGTGAGCGTTTTTCGTTCTTTTGTGGCTATTTGAATCAAAGAAAGCCGAATAAGAACGGTTATGTGGTCCCATTTCGAGAGAAAGGCGATGGGTGATCGGGACACATCAGCGATTTGCACGATGCATCAGCCCGCACAGACCTTTCATGTATGTGCAATTTTGTTGGTCAGGTAACATTATTTTTTTTTCACTTGCGGAAGAATGAAGAAGGCGTTTCATATTACTGTAATATTAATGGGGATATTTACCCATCATTTATTGTATCTTAGAAGTCTATTTGACACATTCAAAATTAGTTCTGAATTTTTGGAGGAACCAGCGGTTGACGCAAAAGTAAGGTTTTGCTTATTATTTGTAGAATAATTTTCAAAACGTTGAAATTCGAATGTTTTCGGAATTATTAACGAAAAATATTTACGATAAGTGGGTTTCTGCCATCTAACGTAGTCTTGGCAAATCCAAGAGATGATTTTGAATTTTTGTCAATATATTGCAATGTTCATGTTAAGAAAAACACTTTTTGTCAAGCTTGAGAAAGTTGTGCAATATTGATTAGATTGTGTCCATTGAAAAGTATAGAAAAAATATGATCTAAGATGCAGATGCTCTGACTTATATGCGAACCCAGTCTAAAAAGTTATATTTTTTATTTAACAATTGGACAGTGACTGATGTACTGTACAGCAGGAGTAATAATGGCTGAGAAATCCTAATTAATTGAGCTAATCAGGTGAAAAAAATGGATGCGACAAGACCAACTTTATCGCGTTTTTAATCATCCCTTCAGTTTACCCATGGGCAATAATCCCTGATGTGGAGGCAAGGCTCCGAAGAAGTCTCTTCTTCCCCATTCCAGTCCAAAGCGTTCTGCTGCCACTGCACTGTCCGGGACATATTTTACTGCAGTACATAAAACGAACAGCATAGGGAATAGAAGAGATGATTTCATTTGAATTAGAATCGCACAAGGAATAAAACTTGCCTCTTGGATGATGAGGAGCTCTGGAGAAATAGGGTTTAGTTGCAGGTTCCTTGCCTCGATCGGATAAAAGGAACCTTTCGGATAATGGAACGTAGGGTTGGTGATGTGGGAGGGGAACCAGAACTCCAGACTTTGTCCTGGGCTGCTCTCGCCCATCCGGATCATCGTCACCGGGAGCGTAATCTATCTCTTCCCGCGACTGGTAACCCTTCCTATCAGCGTTACCTCGTTGTTGGAAGGAATCCGGATCGGGTCCCGGGTATTCCTGGTCCCTCGGAGGATATTCATCGCTTCTGCTGTGTCCAGTGTCTGCTCTTGATCCGTAATCCTGTTCCTGACGTCGGTCGTTGTTTTCAAAGTCGTCGAATCTTCCGGGGAGTTCATCTTGGGGTCCACCGGGGTACTGCTGATGGGTTTCATCTTGTGATGTTGGATACCGTGCGGGGTAAGGCGGATTGTCCATGGGTGGAGGGGGTTGAGGTCCGTAGGGTGGGGTTGTCGGTGGGCTTTTGGGAGCACCCGCGTGCCAAGTCGGGTACGCGGGGTTGAAGTTGGGGTACCCGATGGACGGCGGGCCTCGGAGACTCGGAGCCCCGACTGGACCCAGCATTTGTTTGACTCGGTTTGACATGGATCGGATTCTTCTGCGGACTGCGAAAATATTCAGGTGGTATAATCGCAATGCAATATTTCAAAACGAACCACAAACATTTATTGAAATTTTTTTTTCATTTATTGGCATTAAAAGAAAATTATGACGGATCGTTGTTGAAGAAATAGAAGAGATTCATTCCCCGAAAGCTCATTTATTTCTTAAAATCAGCGAAGAGCATTTCTTTATATAGAATATAAAATTTTCTAACTCAATAATGCATACAGCAGGAATGCAGCTATAACAGCCTAGCTATAAGAATAGGTTCCTGTTATGTAAACAAAAAAACTTAGTAAATTAATGTAACTCAAAATATCGTAAAACAGTACATGTCACATAATCAAGGCTCCCCTAAGACTTTTTTTTAGCAACATTACTGTTAAAAAGGTTACAAAGTTTTTATAACAGAATTTGATCTGTATATTTCATTACTTGAGATCTGCAAAGATTGTTTGCTGAATAATATGTCACATTTTGTCCAAAACGTCGAATAATTAAGGACCTTATAGAAAGATTTGCCTTGTCAAAAACGATTTTTTATTGAGAATAAGCTCATTAAAATTTTTTTATTGAGAATAAGCTCATTAAAATGTTTTTATTGATGCATATATAGATATAGGAAGTACAATAATAACTAGCTCATGCCCATGGAAATGAACATTCCCTAGCTTATTAGAAACATTAATTGTGTTTTTACCTCATATGTCCCTGCTGAAACTACAAAAATTCAGCTAGCAAACATTGATTGGTCTCCAGCGAGCAAATGTCTAATTTTTTTTAGAAAGAATTAAAATTGCAAAAAGTTAACTCCAGCTTATGGACAATTTTCAGCACTAAAGCATATTTCTGTGGAATTTTATCCAAGGACAATACATTTGTTTTTTTGAATCATTTAATTACATTGAGTTTTATAGCATTTTGTCATGTACAGTGTATTAGTTCCGAGGGGATTCTGAAAAAAAATCGTTGTAATGACAATTTTTAGTTACAAAGTTTTTATAACAGAATTTGATCTGTATATTTCATTACTTGAGATCTGCAAAGATTGTTTGCTGAATAATATGTCACATTTCGTCCAAAACGTCGAATAATTAAGGACCTTATAGAAAGATTTGCCTTGTCAAAAACGATTTTTTATTGAGAATAAGCTCATTAAAAAATTTTTATTGATGCATATATAGATATAGGAAGTACAATAATAACTAGCTCATGCCCATGGAAATGAACATTCCCTAGCTTATTAGAAACATTGTGTTTTTACCTCATATGTCCCTGCTGAAACTACAAAAATAGTCGATCGTTTGTAACTAACCAGAGGTCGCTCGTTTACAGATTAAAAAAAATCTTTCTTAATTTTAACGTTTTTCAATTGAGGTCGAATACCTGTTAAAAGTCGTGATTTCGTATAAAGACACCTTAGTATTCTGATGATGTTTCTTAACTAAAACCCCACCTATTCATGCATAGCCCAAAATGGACTTCTAGATATACAGCAGGGATGAATTATTGTTAGCCTCAAAATAAAAAAAGTACCTGGGGGCAGTGCTGGTTGGGCTTGTGGTACTGTTACTTCTTGTTTGGGTTCACTGATGCTGGGTTGATTCTGTTGAATTTTCGGTGGAACCTGCTGCTGCTGGGGTTGGTGAAGTGGTATTGAGGCTTGGCTAGAAGTCATGGTTGGCTGGGCTTGGCTATTAATAATAGGGATTTCTGGAACTTGTGATTGCTGCTGTATTGAAGAAGTTTGTTTTTGAACAGCACTGATTGGACCCTGATGACTTATTGGAACTGTAGTTTCTGGAGGCATTTTTGGGGCAACTGCTGCTGGGGAACCACCTACAGACATTTTGTCCAACAGGGCCTGCAATGGCGCCATGGTCAGTTTATCTTCCTCTGGTAACCTTATGAGGATGGGTTCTTTCATTTCTTTTCCCTCTGGGCCTTGCTCCATGTTGTTTTGTTGCTGTCGGTCGTCTTTGGG